TAGTTGTTGTGCTCAAGTTTTATAGATAAACCAAACCCTTGCCTCACTATATTAGATCGTCTGGACTTGTTTCCCTAATGGCCTCCTACCAAACAGTACTCCTTTGTCCTTGATCTTTATAGATCCGTACATGAAAGTTGCAATTCAGAGTAGAAGTATGAAAACATGATGAAATGTTATTCAAATAAGGTTTAAGAGTAAAAACTCACTTAAACTTTATTTAATTACAAATGCTTTAGATCCAATACGTATCGGCTGATAGTTGTTGTGCTCAAGTTTTATGAATGAAACAAACCCTTGCGATTATCACTTAACAATTGAAAATACTCCTATTATGTGTGATAACACTAGTACTATAAATTTGTTAAAAAATCCCCATCTTGCACTCACGCACAAAATATATCGAAATTCGACATCATTTTTTGAGAGATCATATGCAAAAAGGTGATATTTATTTGGAGTTTGTAAGTACTGATATACAATTGGCCGACATTCTTACCAAACCTCTAGCGCTCGATAAATTTTCTTACATTCGTAGAGGATTAGGTATTATCGATGAATCTGAGATTTGTGGTTAACTGTGCTTAAAATGAAAATCGCATTCAGTATCTTTCGGTTGAGAAATTTCATAATTTCGGTCGACTGAACCTGATCTACAGAAACAAACTAAGGCGCTCAAAACTTTATTTTTCAGAATTTCAGTCGATATTCGCGAATTTCGATCGACCGAAAGATGAGCAGCCGAACTTTCATCTTCCACATCAAAATCATTTCAACTTTTCACCAAATCTATCAAATTCATCACACTTTCTCATAAAATCTTAAAATTTTCTTCTATTTTTCATCAAGAAAATTCAAGATTTGGGTTTTTGAGTTCATCACTCAAAAATCTTGATTTCTCTTCAAAAATTCATTGCAAATTGTTTTTAAGAATTAATCAACTTCAACAGTTTGTTACCCACTCTTTTTCCATCATTTTCACTACTTTTCTCAACAAATTTTGAAAAATCAAAAACCATGCCTCCAAGGAAGAAATCAAAGAAAGGGGAAGCAAGCTCGTCAAATGTTGAAGATGACATACCCGTGCCCGACCATGTCACCTATGATTCAATATAACTCTATTTGTTTTGATTATAATAAACAATACACTTATATTTCTAACAAATTTTGTTTCTTGAGTTTTTAATATATCTTTTTAAACATTCAAAGACTCAAATTTTCATCCGTTGAAGAACAATCAATCAAATGAGACTCGAAGAGAACAAGAA